TCATTTACTCTCTGAGGATCAAAGAGCCCTTATTGTGAGAGGGGAGTTCCTGTATCTTGGGATGATCAGGACTTACAGGGATCCTCAAGAGAAGACAGTCTTAAGTTTCCAAGCATTCAGCAGAACTCTCCCATGCCTACACTGTACTCTCCCAGGATTTAGGCAGATGGGGCATTCTATCATGCCCCTACACTCCAGTACCTCAGGTCCAGAGATCTAAGGTAGTCTCAGAAAAGATCTCAGGTTAGAGCACTGAAAATCAGTCTTCGAGGGTATTGAAGGCCAGCTTCCACTTACCAACTACCTTCAGCCCAAGGAAAGCGCTATCTGAACAACACGACTGGCCTGAGGAGAAAATCTCTGGACATTAACAACCCAAGAAGCCTCAGGTCTAGCATCTGTTCCTCATCCATTCCTGAGACAGAAGCCTAACTTGATCTTCCAAAGATACCCTTTATTCAAGACAGAGTAAGGGAGTACTGGCATCATATCAGAGAAGCAGAGATCCTTAAGTAACTAACTCTAATTAAAGAGACAGACTTGACCCTTATGAAGAAAACAACAAAACCTAAACAACAAATAAGAAAGACTTGAATAATGGAAATAAAATCATGCTCCCAAATGAGAAAGCTAAACATATCAATATCAAGGTATTGGTTTTTCCAAATTAATTTTTTGTTGTTGTTGAGACAAAATCTCACTCTGTCACCCAGCCTAGAGTGCAGTGGCACAATCATGGCTCACCACAGCCTTGAGCTCCTGGGCTCAAGAGATCCTCCTGCCTCAGCCTCCCAAAATGCTGGGGTTACAGGTGTGAGCAACCATGTCTGGTTCAAAATTAATTCTTATGCTTAATGTAATTCCAATAAAAATACCAATATTATAGAAACAGAAAACAGATTAGTGGCTGTCTGGGTCTAGGGGTGGAAACAGGAAATGACTGCAAAAGGAAATAGGGATCTTTCTGGGGTGATCAAAATGTTCTAAAACTGGATTGTGATGACGGTTGCACAACTCTGAATGACATACACTGAATTAAAATAGATGAACTTCATGGCATATAAGTTATACCTCAATAAAGCTATTTAAACTATATATCTAGCAAGTTTTACTAAAAGCCTATTTAAAATGTAAATACGTCTTTAGTTATCCATGAAAGGATTTAACAGGCTTTCCAATCTTATTAAAAATAATTCATCACTTTTTTTAAAATGTCGTTTGAAAAAATAGTGAACATAAAACCATAAACTAAAATACAATGGTATCTGGGAGTTTGGAGAATTTCAAACAATGATTCTAAAGTCTTCCTAGAGGAATACATAATAGATAACAGTTAAGGAAAAATTGTAAAGTAGTATAAGAAAATAACTTGCCCTACCAGAAAATCTATAAAAATTAAAACAAGATTATCTTGTTGTAAGAATCAACAAATAGATTAATGGATTATGATAGATGTATATGTAGGAACTAAAATAGGCTCTAGTGTGTCTAGGAATTAGTATAAAAAGAAAACAATCACAAAATAATAGATAAGGGTTGAATATTCTACAAATGATATTGAGAAAAACTATCTACCTATTTATTAGTCAAAAATCAAACCAGAGATTGATGCTATATTATATACTCAAATAAATGTCAGACTAATTTTAAAGTCAAATAAAAGAATTTAAACACAAAATTCAGCAAAAATATAGATTAATATTTAAGTTTAGAATAGAGAAGGAAGCATAAGCACTATGGAAGAAATGGTTAAAATATGCATCTTATACAGCCATCAAAAATGAAGTTTTTGCAAAGAATTTTTAGAAACCATGAGGAAATGCTCATGAAATAATGAGAAGTAAAGAAAGTAGGATATAAAACTGAATCGGAGTAAGAATGCTAATTCAAATTTAAAAGAAAATAGACAACGAAGCCGGGCTCGGTGGCTCAGCCTGTAATCCCACGCCTTGGGAGGCTGAGGTGAGTGGATTGCCTGAGCCCGCGAATTCGAGACCCGCCTGGGCAGCGAGACCTCATCTCTACAATAAAAATAAAATAAAATAAAATAAAATCAGCCGGGCGTGGTAGCGCATGCCTGTAATTCCGGCTACTTGGAAGGCTGAGGCGGAAGGATCGCCGGAGCCCAGCAGGTCGAGGCTGCGGTGGCCGGCAGCGGCCATTGCACTCCAGTCTGGGCGACAGAGTGAGACTCCAACTCAAAAAAAATAATAATAAAATAAAATAAAATAGACAACGATATATACACATAAAAAAGACTGGCAGACACACCAAGATGTCCCATCATCTCTTGGGTGACGGTTATCTCTGGATGGTAGTTTACAGGTGAACTTTGCATCTTTAGAATTTTCCTTATATTTTCTACTATGACCATTTGTTTTATACTCAGAAAAAAAAAGAAAAACCTTTTCCCCAAAAATATTTGATAGGATAAGAATATCAGTGCACACATCAGTGTGCAGATGGGTGGATTAAAAAAAAAAAGAATAATAACATGAAAAAAACACTCTAACCACTAAAAAGTAAAAGCAACAGCTTAAAAATATACATAGATGTTAAAAAACACATTTTTTACATGCGCGATCTATTTCACAGTTTTTTTAAGTCTAAAAAAATAAAATAAAAACCACACAAGGTTTTTGTTAGGAGCAGCAGACCCACCGCCCAGGTATGTGCACTGCCTGAGCCCTTCCCCGACCCTTAGGAGGCAAGGAAAAAGAGGCTAGCACGTCCCCATCTGGCTCAGGCAGGAGGATGCTGCCATCCTGGTGTGGGGTTCCCCACCCCTGTAGATGGTGAAGCCAGATCCACACACAGGCTTGGCAGACAGCCTGATCAATTCCTAAATGAGCTCCCTAGGGACCTACATGGGCCATCTCTTCTGAAAGGCCTTGCTGTTCAGCCTGTGGACTGTCAGGCACATGGGGCAACCCTGCCAAGCTTTCCCTGGGCCACTGTGAACTTACCGCACTAGTGGCTGAAATCACCTGAGACTAAGCACGAAGGGAGCAAGGGTCATGAACAGATTTCAGAAAGGCTGTTTTGGGGTCCTTGAGATTTGTTCCGCTCCAAGCCCTCTGAACTACTGTTCCTACAGTCTGACCTCAGCACCCACTGAAATTAAACCATTCCCCCATTCCCCGTGGTCACCTTGAAAATGCCCCTCTCCCCCTGAAAATTCTTGCCATGGGAAAGCCCCTCTCGATTCTCCACAAAGCTTCCCTTTTCCTTCGCCCTCCACTAGGTGCTGTATCAGCTTGTCCCTCATGCATTTCCTTTCACTGTTCCAAGAAACCATCTGTCCTCTGCCCTCACCCTGTGAAACACTGCTTTCCCTCCTGCTCCCCCATGAAGCCTCCATTCCCAGACCCATGACTCCTGTTTCCTCCACCCCGAGAAACAGTCTCATATAAGTTCCCACCAAAACCAGAGGCTGTACCCGTGTAGGGCTACCCGATTTAGGAAAAAGAAATAGAGAATTGGAATTTCAGATAAACAATCATTAATTTCTTATATATAGGTATGTTCCATCTATTTTAACCACCCCACTCCCACTCTTTTTTTTTTTTTGAGTCAGAGTTTCACTCTGTTGCCCAGGCTGGACTGCAGTGGCACGCTCACAGCTATCGCAGCCTCAACTTGCTGGGCTCAGGTGATCCTTCCGCCTCAAACTTCCAAGTAACTGGAACTACAGGCACTTGCTACCAAGTCCACCTAATTTTTTTATTTATTGTAGAGACAAGGTCTCACCATGTTACTCAGGCTGGACTCAAACCCATAGGTTCAGGCAATCCTCTCGCCTCGACCTTCCAAAGTGCTGGGATTATAGGAATGAGCCACCGCAACTGGACTTCCACTCTTAAAACACTTTTCCCTTCTGCCATACAAAAGAAATACTGTCTTCTTTCTGTCCTACTATAAAACAATGTCTCCCTAAACCTCTGTGAAATGCAGCCCTCCCTCTGTCCCTGAAGCATGAAGCAATAACCAAAAGAAAAAAACTGCTTCCTTGCTGTCAGTCCTTTCAATCCTGCTCCTCAAGCACCCATCTGTCTCCTTCTATGACAAGTGGATACTCTGTTACCCATTATCTTTTTTCTGTTGACTACCTGCTCCCCCCAAAATGGTGGCACTCCTGTTCCCAAGTAAAACAACTTGCCTCTGTCTCCCACCATAGTAATATCGTATACCAATTGCCATTTATTTGATTCTTTTGTTGTTGTTGTTGGAGTCTCACTCTGTCACCCAGGCTGGAGTGCAGTGGCACACTCATGGCCAACCCAGCATTGACCTGCTGGGCACCAGCGAGCCTTCCGCCTCAGCCTCCCAAATAGCTGGAACTACAGGTGCGCGCTACCACACCCGGCTATTATTTGGTTCTTAATCGGCACTTGACCCTGTGCTGAGTACCCAATTCCTGTGAATTAGGAAGTAGGAGTAGTAGTAGTATTCCAATTTTATAACTTGTCCTAGAACACACCATATTAAGATTAGTCAGATTTGCATATAGGTATACCTGACTCTAAAACCTTAGATAAGCCCAGATTTAACCAGCATTTCCTGGATATTCAGTACAAAAAAAATCTAACAAGCAGCCAAGTTGAGACCCACTGCACACTACAGCACACTCCTGCCCCTCAGTCTCCCCATGAATCACTGTTGCTTCACATAGCCCATGGAAAACTCTCCACTGGCCCCCTTCCTGCCCCAGAGAACATTATCTTCTTCTACCTCCCTCTGGGCACAGTCCCCTTGGCTGCGAACTCCCACGCTCTCAGAAGAGAGGGTCACGGTCAGGCTGTGGCAGTCAGATGCCTGGCATCTGAGATTGGCTGGGGTGAGAGGCCATGCCTGTGGTCCCCAGATCCTGGCACTCCATCCCCTCCCCAGGCCCTTCTATAAATAGCCCACTGCTCACTGGCTGCCGAGCTGTTGCAGCAAGAGTTTCCATGAGGTCAGCTTCCCAGAGCAGCCTCCAGGTCCCCAACACCCACACTTACCTCTCCTGGAGTCCTGTGGCCTGCTCGCCCCTGCAAGGGGCTGTCCCGGGTACTGTGCTTTCGCCGGGCAGGGGGTGTCGGCACCTGGGCAGAAGCCTGAGATGGAGCCTTCTCTAAACTCTGGGTCCCACGTTCTGGAGCTTGACTCAGGGAAGAAACGGGCTTGCTGTCGGTAGTGGACTCCCCTTTGGGTTTTGGAGGGGCAAATCTCTTCCTGTTAAAAGGCCTAGTTGGCTGGGGGGCCGAGGAGGGTGTGGGCTGACCAGGAGCAGGAGGTACCCCCTCACTTCCAGTCTCGACTGGTACTTTCTCTGAGGGAGTCTCTCTAGGTGCCCTGACACTTGGGGGCTGGGACCCCTCTTCTCCCTGAGGCCTGACTGCCTGGGTGCTCTCCATATACATGGCCTTCAAGGAGAAGTACACTTCCTGGTGTGGGCCAGGGCCTGGGCTAGGGGCAGGGGCGTCCTGGGCCTCGTCTTCAGTGCCCATAGCAGAGGCTGGCTTCCTAGTACGATCTGTTCCGGAGGGTCCCGGCCCCCGTGCAGCCCTGCCTCTGGGCTGGGGCTGAACCTGCTCCATGCCCTTGGGCCCCTGTGTCCCACGGGCGTCAGGCTTGTCTGATGAACGTTGGCTTCGGGCTGCCTTCTCTAACTCTGGCTTCCATAGGCCTTGCTTAGATTCCTCATCTTTCTTTTTCTTCTTGGCCCCAGACTCCTTTTTGGAGGTTCTCTGAGGCCCCAGCTCCATGGCATCACAGATGTATGTCAGCAAGTCATGCTCTCCGTCCTCCCCATTCTCAGGGGCAGCCTCCCCATTGGTGGTCACTTCTCCAGGAGCAAAACTGTTGATCACGCCCAAACCTGAGTGCTGGGCAGACTCAGTCTCTCCTTCCTGCCAAGGTACTGGGGTCCCTCCCTCAGCCTCCCTGAAAGGAGCCGAGGGGACAGGGACTTCGGCCCCACTCAGTCGCCGCTTTCGCTGGAAGCGGTCAGGGCTGAGCTTGCGCAGGGTGTCGCCCTCCCCCACTGCCTTCTCATGCTTCCAGCTCTGCTCGATCTCACGAAGCTTTGCTGCAGCCTTGCGCTTCAACTTGGCAAACCAGCGCTGGTGGATCTTGTACTCAGTCATGGTGCCCACCTCCAGGACCCCCGAGCAGGACACAATACCCTTGGAGTTCTGGGCAGAGGCCTGGTAGATGGCAGCATCTTCTTCTCTACACCTAGAGGGAGGAGCATGAGATGGCACCTCTGATCCTCCTGGGAGGTGACAGCCCCCCATTCCCCAGAGCCAGAGCCTTTCAGGGTTGAGCATGCTTCCCCCTCCCCACTGCAGTCCTGCCGAGTGTCACCCCCACCTCAGATGTCACCACATACAACACCCTTCTTTACAGTTGAGGAAACTGAGGCTGGCAAAAGGGTGGCAGCTGACCAAAGCCATGCTGTCCCAAGAGGGATTAGACTTGGGGCCCAGGAGAGCTCCCTTCAGAAACAGGTGACCAACACACCCCCTTGTGAAGTAATGATGACAGAGTTTCTTTTTTTGGCCGCTGACCTCATGGAAAATGTTTCTGTGGGTCAGGACCTCTTCTGGTTGCACTTAGCTCTCTGACAGTCAGAAATGCTCCCACCTTGGCCTTTGGAGATCCCAGATGCTGGCAGGCAGACACAGCTTCCCAGGAGATTCAACTCCACCCCCATCCCCAGATGGTGCCTGGGCATCCCCATCTAGTCAAGTCCATTTTTGGAGGGCCCTGGGGAGGGCAGAGAGTGCAGAACAGGCCTCTCTCCCTCACCTGTACAGTTGCAGTGTGTGGCGGTTGCCCTGATGAATGATTTCATATTTTGGCAAGCCACAGTAGCGGTCCAGCTCTGTGTCATCCTTATACCAGGTCACCTCTGGCTCCGGGTATCCTGAGAAGGAAGCAGGAGATTGGGTTGCAGGAAGGCCAGTTCCAAAATAGTGGGAGAAAAGAACAAGAGGCCATGGCTTCTCCAGACCACCTGAAAAAACTGGACAGTACCGTCTGCCCCAGGCTTGCTGGAAGGACAGGGCCACTGTAGGACTTGGCTTGTTTTTAGAAACCAGTCCCTGTCAAGGCTGAAAATGATTCCCCTTCAGCAGCTGGGAGGAAAATACAGAGGAGAAACTTCCTCACTTCCTAGGAGGAAAGGAAGCAAGGAGTTTCCAGAAATCCTTGGCTAGTAGGAATAAGCTCTCTTCTGCAGGGGCCCATGCAACATGCTTAACTGTAAGAGCTCTATCTTCACACCCAACTCACCAGTACCACTGCCAAGAGTGCCCCTCCTTTCATTCCAGGGTTCTGTGCTGTTAGTATCATTTGACAACACCACTAAAATACCCATCCATCCATCCATTCATTCATTCACCCATGATCCATCTACCCACCCATTCACAACTGCCTACTCGCCCAATCACCATAGTGAGATTGATTGAGGTACCTTCCCAACCTCTATTCTCTGCGGACTTTCAGTCTACTCACAAGGAAGAGTTTCCAACTGTTACAGTCACACGTCCCTTGCCTCCCTGGCCATGGCTGATTGGTTCAGTAATGGATACCAAATTAGGTAATCCAATCCATTCTCCATTCTTTGACCTAGGTTTTAGGAATTAGAACCTAGAGACAGTCTACCATTGTGTCTGAAAATTTAACTTTGAAGGGGTATGACAGTCATGGACTGAGAATCAGACAGAACTTGTCTACAGTAAGACGGAAAAATGAAGTTGATGTTCAGGATAGAATAGGAGGTGGGAAACAGAGAAAGTCCCAAGATACTTCCATATACTATCCTGTTCCTGGTCAGAGCTTCATTCCTCTTGTCAACTCCACAAGAAGCCCCTCCATCCTTAGCAAGGAACTCTGCTTTATTTCTTGTGCTGACTCCAACTGATCTATATTACTTGTTAGAAATCAAAGGCACCCTCAACAAACTAGGGTTATGAGGACACAGAAGCATGTTAGACAGGCTCTCTGCTCTCAGGGAACTTACTGTACAGTAGATGTGCCCACACAAGGTGGCAGTGCACCCAGCGCTGCACATATGCTCTGCCTTCCCAACTATCTACGGATAAACCACACCCCTTTCTCAAGCAGCCCCTCACTGGATCCCATCTCTTCTTGCTTAACCATGGACATCTCTCCAACAATTACTCCTGCTCTCTCCCATGTCATCAAACTTTTCCTCTCTGTTAGATCATTCCCCTAAGCATACACGCTTGCTGTACTCTATCTCTTCTCCAGAAAGAACTTCCTTTGACTCCCACATCCTCCTCTAGCTCCTGCTTCCATTTCTCTGCTTCCTCCTTCACAGAAAAACTATTCGAAACAGCTGTCTGTACTCGCTGTCTCCACCTTCCCTCCTCCCAGCAGGCTTTTGTTTCCACTACTGCAGCAGAACTGCTCTTGTCAAGATTGCCCATGGCTTGCGCTTTGTCAAATGCAATAACCGGTTCCTATGCCTCATCTACACAGTCGATCCACAGCATGGTGGACCCTACTTCCTGACATCTCCATTGCGCTTGCTCCTAGAACACCACTCTTTCTGGCTCTCCCACTTCACTGGTCACTTTTCCTAACCCTTCCACCAGTTCTCCCTCACCATCTAGACGTGCCCCAGGGCTCAGGCCTCAGAATCACTTTCCATTCTCCCTCCACACTCACAACTTCAGGGATCTATTCCTGTCCTGTGGCTTTCAAATATCTGTATGCTCATGACTCCCAAATTCCTGTCTCCAGTGCAGACATCTCTCCTGAGCACCCAGCTATTTCTGACTACATAACTGGCATCTCCACTTGAAGGCTGAAGAGGTACTGACTTACCAGGTCCTAGGCCAAACTCCTTTTTTCCGTCTCCAAATCAATTCCTATACATCTCAGTAAATGGCCACTTCATCCTTCTGACTTGGCTAAGGCCCCTCCCCAGAGGCAACGCTGTATTGCTTTCTTGGTCTTGCATCAACTGCACCAGGCAGTCCTACAGGCCCTCCCTTCAGAACCTGTCCAGAATCTAAGCGCCTTTTGCCATTCCCCACCACCAGCCAGTCCCCATCACCATCACCTCACAGCTCCAAGACTGCAAGAGCCTCCTCTCTGATCTCACTGCTTCCATCCTGGCCTCTCTTCAGCCTATTCTCAGCATAAGAGACAGAGTGAGCCTTTTACCACAAAGTCAGGGCACGGAGCTCCTTTGCTCGAAACACCCCAATAGCTCCACTTTCACTCAGGTCTCCTGAACCCTGTGACTGCACTGGCCTCCCCTTACTGCACCCCAGTCAAGTCTCCCACACGGCTCATCCTCTCATGCCCACGAGAGCATCACACCTCACTTCCTGCAGTCTGTTCACGTTACCTCCACAGAGAAGCCTTCTCTACCAACCTGTGTAAAACAATAATGCTCTCTCCCAGGCGCTTCTTATCCTTCTTACTATGTTTATTTGTCTTCACAGAACACATTGCTACCTGACATACTACACGCTTATGAGTTTGATGGCTTATGTCCATCCTTTCCATGACAAATATCAGCTCCATGACAGCAGGGACTTACTTATGTGTATTATTCACTGCTGTGTCCCTAGTTCCTAGAATAGTGCCTGGTATGGAATCAACACTCATTAAGTATTTATAGATGAATAAATGAAGCAATGCACCAAGTGCTTGGGGTTGCAGAGACAGGAGCAATCACCTCTGGTGGGGAATCAGAAAAGGCTTTTGGAGTGAGTGGCATCTGAACTAGACTTGACAGGTGGGCAAGACTTCAGGACAAGTGGGGTCAGTACTTCCGACCTCCTTTCTTGTCCTTGGCTCGAACATCATAACCTTCCCCTTCACAGCACTCATCACAACACAGCCACTGGCTGTTCCTTTGTCAGTGTCTCCACTGGACTAGGGTCCCACGTAGGCAGGAACTATATCCCACCCACTGCTATATCCCCCAGCTAAGAACGTGCAGGGCACATGGTAATTCCTTAATAAAACCCTGCCAGATGAGTGAGTGAGAAAATGAGTGAGCTGGGGAATGAGTGAGCAAACAAGACATGGATGAGAAGGGCACATCTGGCAAAGGAACGGCTACCTCAGGGCGTGAGGGTGAGGAGCAAAGGGCACGCTGGGCAACCAGGTTCAGAAGCCAGGAGCAAGGGAGGCGAAGCTGTGGCTAAGTCAGCCAGGAACAAACTCTGGGCAGCCCTGGCTGTAAAGCAAGCCCCATGTTTCCACTGTGAGCTAAAGCCCCTGGTTACATCACTGTGCATGGCCAGGGCCAGCACAGGTGTCCTCACTATCCCGTGGGATGACCTCACCCCTGTAAAGGTCCGGCTCAGAGCCTCCCTGCCCCATGGCCATCTGAGTCCAATCAGGCTAGGGCGAGAGGGAGGGTTGGGACAAGAAGGGAGATATTAAATGGACCCCACAGCCCAGAGCTAGGGCCTCAGCCTCCATGCCACCCTCTGGTGCCTTACACACAGGGGAGCCAACCTCACAACTTAGGGTTTCATAGCAACAATGGGGCTTGGAAGCAAACTTATTTGGGAGAACACATTGCCTCGTCCCCTGAATAGTGTGACCTGTATTCTAAAATGCATAAAAGCAGGAGGGCCTGGGTCCTTCCCTCCCAGCTGCACGTATGTGCACACCCATGTGCCTGTGTCCACAGGCAGGTGTGCACACACACAATGCAGCCCTGGCCAGGAGAGCCCACAGCAGTACTTGGGCCTGTGGCCTTCCCTCTGCCGCTTCACACCCTGTGACCTGTTTCACAGTCAGTAGGCTTGACCCAAGGACCTGCAGCCTCGTCCCAACTACTCCCAGGCTGCAGAAGCTCAGATTCAGAAGAAGAACAATGAATGAAAATTCAGAGTTTTCAAAGAACTTTCACATATAGAATCTCATCTGACCCTCAGAACAACCCTATGCAAACAACTGCTGACATTAATGAAGACTTACTCTGTACCAGATACTGAACTGAATATTTTTCATGCATTATCTCATCTAATCCTTGCAAAAGATCCTATGAGGAATGTACTATTACTAATCTCCAACTTAAGGAAGAGGAAACCCAGGCTCATGAAATTAAGGCTCCTGTCCAGAGCTATCCAGCTAGTAAATAGAAGAGCCAAAATACAAATCCCTCTCTTCTATAAAACAGGCAGATGTTTTAATCTTTATTTTAATAAGAGGAAGATGAGGCTCAGAGAAGCTAAGTAAGTACTCATGGTCACACAGCTGGCACATGACAAAGCCCCAGGTTTCTTTTTCTTTTTCCAGCGTTCTTTCCCCTGGGGATTCTGGGACAAATATATGAGTTTTTGTTACCAGGAGTCATTATGTTAAACTTATTTATCTTAAAAAAAATGATTTCAGGAACATGATCCTGTCTAAATGTTCAACAGTTCCTTTGCCCACACTGCCTGCTGCTGCTGCTTCCTTCTCCTACCCCAACACACACACACACACACACACACACACACACAGAAAGCCAATAGAAAATCTACAACAGAGTTGAAGCAAGTAGAGGAGAGAAGCCATCATGCTGGACAGAGACAGGCAGCTTTAAGGAAGACAGCAGCACTCTGGCCAGAGGAACTCTGGGGAGGACAGGAACCAGAAGGCCCAGCCAAGGCCCACTACCTACTCTGAGTGGGAAGAACCCCCAGGCCTTACTCCCTTCTCTAAGCCCCTAAACACTTCCCTCACAGGTCAGCCAGCAGGGGTACTGGCACAGATGACTCTCTCTCACCTGGACTAGGTTCTGACCACCAGAGAGACATCAACTATGGCAGGAAACGCTGTTGGTAGTGAGGTTGGTGGTCATGCTGTCTCTACAGAGACAAGCCAGGAGCAGAACAGCAGTCTCACATGAAGGTCGGTCTCAGTCAGAGAGTCATCCATCATCCA